GGCCTTCACCCTTTGCACTGTTTGTTATATTTTTAAGTCTTTTTCAGCGACTGACAAAGCCTTTTTGGTTGTTGCGGGTGCCGGGATCGCAGGGTCGTAGTGCGGAAAGTGGTGACGCTTGCTGACCGTAAAGCATTCATGATTGCCATTCAGTTGGCACTCAGGCAGTAAAGAGTTGTGACTCACGACTCATTTGTTTCGCTTTTGTTACTGAGAGACTTTGGAAGAAAGAAAGCGCTATGGAGATAATGCTTTCACATGAACGCCTTAATTATGGGCTGCGAAGCGCTCCAGCGATAAAGACAACGATAGGGGCGGAGCATGAGCGGGCGTGCATGTGGGATGGGCAAGGCCGCGAAGGGGCAGGGGTGGGGGGAGGGGCGAGAGACAGTGAGGGCACAGACTTCGTACGTCGCGTCTGTCGCCGTAACGTTAGACTCTGAAGGGCACTGGAGGCGGCGGAACAGGGCGAGGGGAAGACATAGTACTCATAGTGCTAAAGGGGAATCCACTCGAGCAGATGTTTACCTTCATTCATAATTATTTTCGTTGCTTTAGAACCGATTTTAAAAGGAGGGTGCGGGTCGTCACGTGCAGAAGTGGCACTGACGGACGCTACGGGCGGCGTCTCGTTACATCTCATCACTTTTTTGTCAGCTCGCGATCGGATCCGGGTTGAATCTGACGGTATTCCTTGTAGGAGACGAAGGGGGTTGGAGGTGGGGGGTCCTGGCGCCAGCGTGGAGGATTACTTTTACCAGGGAGAAAGAGGAGAAGGAGAAGGAGGAAGAGAAGAAGAAGAAGACGACGAGGAGGAGGTGGAGTTGAAGTTGGAGCAGCAGCAGGAGGAGGAGAAGGAGGTTGAGACCGCAAACCGCACCTTAGCGGTGGCGTCACTATCGCGATGAAGGTTCCTACGATCCTCCATGCGGAACATTTTTATTGTGAGCGCTCCTTCTCACGCGAACTTGTGGGGCTGAAGGATGCTTTCTCTCTCTCTCTCTCTCTCTCTCTCTCTCTCTCTCTCTCTCTCTCTCTCTCTCTCTCTCTCTCTCTCTCTCTCTCTCTCTCTCTCTCTCTCTCTCTCTCTCTCACTCTCTCTCACTCTCTCTCACTCTCTCATTTTGCAGATAAGTTGGTTCGTACATGCATTTTGCTGCGTGAATAAAGTATTGCAGGATTTCTCACGTCTTCTCCTCTCCTTCCCCTCCCTTCCTTCACTTCCATCCCCGTCTTCCTTCTCTCCTTCCCTCCCTCCCTCCCTCCCTCCCTCCCTCCCTTCCATCTCCTCCCTTCTCCGCCATTCATATCTTTCAAATCCTTAAAACTTTAGATAATTTTGTCTAGACGTAGAACCTTCGGAGAAAATCATGACTTCAAGTGTTCTCGTTATTCGCTCTAAAGAGGCAGCGAGATAGAGATAGAGATAGAGAAAGAAAGTCGAAAGGATTAAAGGAAAAGAAAGTAAAAAAAAAAATATGAAAGGAAAACAGCTTAATACATGAAAGAGAGACTCATTCCTTAAATAGAATATAATTAATGTTGATTTCCTCTTTTCTGTTGTTTGTTTTTTTTTCTGTTAGCTCTTCTAACCTTAACTGCTTCGGAGGATAATGCGTTTCCCGTAGTCACATGGCAGCTGAGGAATAGCAAAGCCGGGTGTCTCTCCTTAACCCTTCCTTCCCCTCTTCCTTTTCTCCTCTCCCCTCTCTGGCCCTCCCCTCTCGCCGGCGCCTCCCCTTTCCACCCCTAATGAACCCTCGCTTGAGTGGGGGGCAGGGGGAGAGGGGGGGATGGAGGCCGAGAGATCATTTGGTGGATAAGAGGATATAAAGATCTGGGATAATCACCAGGGAAGATAGGCGAACGAGAGAGGGTTTTGTAAACTGCGAAAGTGTGTGTGTGTGTGTGTGTGTGTGTGTGTGTGTGTGTGTGTGTGTGTGTGTGTGTGTGTGTGTGTGTGTGTGTGTGTGTGTGTGTGTGT